ATGCTTCTTCTTATATCGCCAACTTGTTGCTTTGGTGAAAACACAAGGTAACTAAATTTGATTCGCATAATAACCGACACAGAAACTACAACCTTTTTCGTTTTCATTTTATCTTTTGAAAAAAAGAACACATCCCGTAGCATTTTGGCCTAGGCTGTTTAAAAGCATAAAGGCTAAACATAGAAAACATAAAATTACTGCTTATCTGCTAATTTTGCATAAACACTGTCATGTCAGCATTTTTTCAAATATACGTAGGCATATTTACGCTATGTATATATATATATATATATATATATATATATATATATATATATATATATATTGATTTATTCTTTTGGCGCCTAAGTGTCTAGCATTTTACTGCAACAGACAATAAATAGGCTTAATAGCTATTTTGTTATTGGACAATCAGTGGACTGTGGCAATGTTTGACAAAATTATAATTTGTAGACAAGTAGGCCGTTTTTACAAGTTTAACGGGAAAATATTTTCGGTATGGCTATACGTAATTGAGAGGCAAGTTTCCAAACATTAGAATTATTTGCCTTGTTTCACTATTGTAAACTTAATCGTTGTCTTTTCTTCTTCTTTTGTATTGCGTAAGCAGTTATTCTTCACAATTCTATGCAGCTTTTAGACCAATTGAACATAATTCTATTATTGAATGGACTAGTAGATTGGTGAAATTATTTATGACTTAGATAACGAAATATCTTTTTTACCAGAAAGGAATATTCTCATGTGATGTGAATGAAGAAGTTAGAAAAAAGCGAAAGTTAGTCGATGAGGTTGTGGAGCAGCTGCATCGATTGAGATGACTAGGGCGTGTGTTAATCATGCTGAGCTGTCGGCCTTCTTCACGATCAATTTTAGCTGACACACAGAGTCAGGTTGGTAAAGAGGCTACTGGTAGTCAAACCGAAACATTGAATCACTTCATAGAATTTCTAACAGTTGGTTTGAACAATCCATATGGGGAGGCGTGAACTGTCTGACTGGGGTCTTGGAGATTCTAAGAACCCAGTGGCGCAGATGAATTCGCTCTTTATGATCTCTATTGTTTTTCCATGTTACTGCTTTTTTTTCAAGCAAATTTCTGTTTATTATCGTTCTTTTGAATCGCACATTTTCCCCTCATCCGTCTTCTTTTGTGTGCTACATGGAGTTTGGCAACTCGAAGCGCTGCACTTCTGTGCAAAGTTCTATATTGAAATAAGTCAGCCAATAAGTCATTCAGTCAGAAGGAAGAATCCAAAATCTCTCTGACTTCACATTGGAGTTGAAAATCCCAATCTTATTTTGGATGCTGAGTGCTGTTGATCTCCACACAGACTTGAGGGTAATAAGAGCTTGTCTCGTTTCCCCGATCCTCGCTTTGATATCCTCATCAGTTCAGTCCGCTTGTAGTTGAGACAATGCTTCCCAGGTAGGTGAAAGAGGTTGCCTCTTTCAGATTCTCCCATTTATGCTCCCTAATTGTTGTCTGTTTCTGTTGGCCGGGAATCTTCATCAACTGTGTTTTCTCTGTGTTCACATGAAAGGAGGTCTTATCTTCGATGCTTATTCACTTACATATCTCCCAGTTTGTGGGAAATCAGACAAATATTATCGGCGAAGTTCAGATCCTCCACGTTTTTTGCGTAGGTCCATTTTATGCTCTATGTTCCTCAAGGAATTACAGGAAACTATAATATAATAATAATTCTCCGATGCTAAAAGCTATAATATTTATCGTTATTCCGACCTATCTATGCATTATCGATAACGATGTATCAAAAATTAAGGAATCTCTCTCATAAATAACAACTGGATAGCGATCAATGCGCTGTTTTCATTTTTAATTCTGGAATACTTTCAACTCAAATGGAATAATTTACTCATGATCCAGAGTATTATGTGGTATTTATTTAACTGATCGAAGTTCGTGGTGAAATTTTTTTCTAATTGTTGAGTTCATCACCCGAAGTGTAGATGATTACTGAAAATTCCTTGACTACGTAATTCACATTTTTTCGTCAGTAGTTTACTTTGAAAGAAAATACAACAACAAAAGGATTTATTCATCAGCTGAGATTAGTTAGAGACCATTGAAAAACCAGTTGGGAGTACTAAACAGCTACTTCGTCCTCCCTCTCTGAGACTCTTCAAAGGTAAGCACCAACCGACACGGGTAGAACCTTCTAGTTACAAGGACAGCTCGCAGAACAGTGAGTCACTGGGACTCGATCCAATGGTTCATGAATTTCAACTTCTACCTCTATCCGATGTCAGTTCATCGTGAAATCCTGGAACTAAAAAAATCCCTGGAAACCAACACTTGAATATCAATGAGATGCTGATTAACAACTGATCCTATTCAGGTACGTAGTTATCTGGGTTCCAGTGGGAATTTGTGACAAGTAGGGCACAGCAGGTTGGATGTGAGGATAAATACTCGCCGAAGACATCGGCTAGGGGTCGCGCTATATCGTGAATCGGCAGAAGTTAGAATCCATGGATCAATGGATTGGGTCCCAGTGGCTCAATGGTATACGAGCTCGCCTTGTAACCAGAAGGTCCTGGGTTCGAACCCTGGTGAGTTCGTACTGGTGAAGAGTTCCAAACTGGGACGAAACAGCTGTCCAGTACTCCTAGGTTATTTAATGGTTCTCTAACTGATGTCAGTTCATGCTGAAACCTGTAACCAATCAATCAAATCCCTAAAAACCAACACTTGTAAAGGATTTTACTTTATAGTCAAATTTTGAGTAGTAGTTGAAAGTTACTACAAGTTTTAACAAATGGTATGTGTAACGATCTCCAGATAGTTTACCTCAGTTTTGCGGATGCCTTGGAATACAGTTTCTATTCAGTCTGTTAACTAATTTATTTTATTATCAACACAATTAACTGGTGTTTAAAGTGCTCAAGTCACACTACCTATTTAACAAAACATTACTGCATTTATATTCAAGTATTGGTCTGTAGGGATTTGGCTGATTGGTTACAGGACTTCATCATGAGCTGACATTGGTTAGAGAACCATTGGAAAATCACCAGGGAGTACTGGACAGCTGTTTCGTCACACTAGTTTGGGACTCTTTAGCAGTACGCACCCACCAACAGCGTGCGAACCCAGGACCTCCAAGACTATTAAGCCACTGGGACTCGATCCAATGGCCAGTCGATGAATTCTAACTTCTGCCAATTCACAATATTTCGCGACGGCTAGCCAATATCTTTGGCGAGTATTTGTCCTGACACTCGACCTGGTGCACTCTATTGGTCACGACTTCTCACTAGAACTTCAGGTAACTACCTACCTGGATAGGGCCAGTCGCTAGTGAGCATCTCATTGATATCCAACGTTTTAAGAATGATAAAAAAATTTTCAAGTTTGACGGAGAATTCAGATCACAACTTGGAGGAAGATTGGAAACCAGGAGAAAGTGCAGAATGGCTGTTTCGTCCCAGCTTGGAACTCTTTGTGAGTAGGCATCCACTAGGGTTCAAACCAAAGACCTTTCAGTTACAAGGCGAGCTCAGAGACCATTTAGCCATTGGGATCCGCCCTAGTGGCCAGCAAATACCAAGTTGACAACAAAACATGTAGTTCAGCGAAGAGTCTGTCTTCGGAGGCAAATTCGTTCACTTAGCTGCACATTCGCAATTGTATCTAATTATTTTTGTATGTGTGTACATCCGATTTGTTCAATAAGAATAAAAAATAAGTTAGGGCTATTGTTGTCAAGACATTTCAAAAATGTGATGATTAGTCAAATTGTAACTGGGGGGAGGTAGGTAGGTGAAGTCTGGGAAAAGGGTAGTGGTAATGCGTTGTCAAAAAACAGTTATTGAGGTGAATCAATACATATAAGGAGTTGAATAAGCGCAATACAGTTACGTAATATGATGAACAGTTTAATAAGTGAGTTGTGATTAGGATGCACAGATGCTATGAGGAATTAGAAAAGAAAAAGACTGTACAGCTGAGTAAAATGAATTCGCTGAATTACGTGTTTTGTTTTCATTAATGTGTGGATAGGGATTATTCACACATGAAGGCAATTCCAAGTTCTACCAATTCATGATTTTAGTGCAACTACCAACCCATACACTCAATGCCTATTTATCCTCACTTTCGACCTGGTAAACTCACTGGTCACGACTTCTCACTAGAACTTCAAGCAAATTCGTCCTGTGAGGTATTCCCTAGCAAGTATCAGATTAATTTTCATGAGTTAGTTTGTAGATATGTAATGACGAGTCGTTATCAGTTTATTATTTTAGATATAAACTTAGTGAACTATCTTTTGATGTGTTTGCAGTTCCTCAGCTGGTTAATTTAATTGCGAAGCTTCCCTTATCTTATGAAACAACATCTTAAGCGTTTACTTTGAGGCTAACTAAATCACACAGGCCAGAGAACACAACCATATAAGAGACCCTCACCTAAGCTACAAATCTTTTCCACTCTTTCAAGGACTTCCGGTCTGTTCGATAGTAACATTATGATAATTTTACTCTTTAATCAGAAATCAACGAAGTTTATTCAATATGATTTTCATACAGAATGCTAGGTTAGTGATATATATATATATATATATATATATATACAAGAAACTTAACCCTAAGTTCCCATTATTTACGAAGACGCTGCGAACCGATAACTACTATGTACATTTCTCGGCTCCAACTCCAAAACACCAGTACTTGTTAGAAAGTTATGTTGTTTGGCAATTAAAGACTAGATAGTTACAAGTCCATAAACAAATGTTTACAAGTAAATACAGCGTACTTTTATTCATATTCTTTCGTCTTCTCCCAACTTGTACACGATTGAAGCATTCGCGCCTTCGAGTTGCCCACCAATGGCTACCAAGGTCAATAAACAAACGTTCAATGTTCGCGTCCATTGACAATATATTTTCGATAAAAAATTTAGTATTCTTCTTATATATATATATATATACATATTAAATATTTTCTCACTCATTTTTTTGTTTTGGTTTCTTCAGAGGAAAAAATTCAGTCACTAAGAAAACAAGATATTTCGCAATTTTAAATTTTGGATTCAATTTCAAGATGTTTATCAATCACGATGTCTGTAATTTATCAAGTGACTCTAACTTACTAAGTGCACAAAGTAATGAACAACTATTGATGGCAATAAATAAATTAGGATGTTCATGGTCATCTAGTAATATTGATTCTAGTAATTGTAACAGTTGTAATAACTATAATTCATCATGTTTTACCCCGTGGTTATCATCTACAACTATGCCGTACGATCGACCTTACAGACTACCAGAAACAGATCGTCTTGAAGATATGCAGTTACTTCAGTCGGTGAAAAAGCTAAATGTACTCCAGGATAATGCCCTTGATAACAAGACTAGTAATCCACTTGACTATTCATTACATTCACAAATAAATGAACATCATTCTTCTGCATTCACTACGCTTATTTCACCAAGTCTACCACAAACAAAGCATAACTTTAGTCGTATTCCGAACATTCGTGAAAATAATGACTGTGATTTATCATTCCCTTGGACATTGAATTATGATGTCGAGTCGAAAAATTGTATGTCTAACATCGAAGCTAATAGTGGACGTTCATTAAAGCGTAAGTATTCAGAAAGTTCATCAAATATAACTAGAAAATATTCTCAAAAATATATGAGAAGTGAGTTTAACAAGACGGTGGTTTCTACCGATGATAATAATAATGGTAAGGATACTGTCAACAAAAATACTATCAGCAACAGTAGTCAGCTGAATAATTCAAACCACTCGCCAACTAGTGAAATTACAAACTCAGCCTCTCCTATGATTAAAAATTTTGCTGATAAAAGTTTAAATTCATCAGGGAGAAAAAAGTTCAAATCAGATAAAGACATTCAACTGAATAACACTAAATCTATGAATACACCAACATCAAGTACAGCTGTCCCGTCAAGTATGATAGCTAACACAGGTATAAATTGTTCAAGTGATGTTAGTATAAATGACAGTGATAACAAAAGTGGAAATAAAAGTGGTACAGTTACTACAGCAGCATATAAGTATTTAACATGGCGTGAAAAAGATCGTCGACGAAGATTTCGTGAAGAATGGAAACACCTATGGCTTGTTATACCCCATGGACTCTATGAGGTAAGATTTAATTGAGTTTTACTCATCTTTCTTAGAATTTTATTGGTGATTTGTATTCCGAAACTTTAAAACTCCTTAAGCTGTAAACCTTTGAATGAAAGTTAATTAATTCTGCGCTGAAAGACAATCAATGTTTATGCATTCTCATCGAAAATATTGTTTTATCTCTCTTCTGTTAATTCAGGCTTTTAATACACAAATGGTAATTATCACCTTTTTGTAGGTAAACTAATTTAACTAACTTTAAAGTCTTCTATGTAGCTTCAGTGTTATCTACCACAGAAATTCCACACTGATCTATTTATTAACTACGAGGATGAAGTTATAAAATACCATCGTAATTAGTGCATTAGAACTCTGTGTAGGCGTTTATTTTTTCAAATCAATTGAGATTCCACAAAGAAACATAACATAATTAGCCTAATGAACACTTTGGTATGTAAGAAGTCAAGCAATTAGTTATTTTTTCGAGAATAAGATATTTACACTCAGTAATATTCAACTCTTAGACAGGTAGTTTTTTCCATTGTGAGACACTAACATATTGGTGAGTTAACATATTACCTTTATCAGTCTTTGCCTAAATCTGTAGAACAATACTCTAAGAGAGAGAGAGAGAGGGAGAGAGACAGAGAATCACCTTTTACGAATAACTCTCTCAGAATTGGCTGGTGCAGCAGTAGAATACTCGTCAACCAAGACAAGAGTGGTTCACGATTCGATGACTGACCGATGAACTGCTAAACCTCACTTAACCGGGTAGTAAGGCTGTTAAAAAGAGGAGGTTGAGCATGAGATTTGAAACTCCCCTCCCCCACCCTAAAAAATAAAACTATTACCATACTGAAACTTCAAAGTTCAAACTTGAATCCCTGTGTTCCAATGGGAACTCAGGGGAATAAAATAATAATAATAATTATTATTCCCTTGGGTTCCTAGTGGGACATTGGGCTTCAGTTGCACGTCTCCACTTGCTTCTGTCTTCTGCTGTTTTTTCACCTCCATCCATGTTAGTCCACACTGTTTCAACTACTCTTCACACTATCTCCTCCATGTCACACTTGGACCGATGACCCACTCGCCGCTTCCCATTCTGTCGGGTTCCACTCAAGCGATGGCATGACGCGCGCGCGATGTCACCCAGTGGCCTCATCAGCGAGCGAGTGTCCAATCCATCTCAGTACACTTTCTCCTGCATATATGTTGGTTGGCGATTGCTTCTTGTTTGGTTTGTTCCCATAGCTAGTTTCTTGTTGTTGATTCTTTTCGGCCCGGTCATCTGATCTTCAGTACAGAGCCAGCGAAGACGGTTGTTGGTTGATGAAGCTCCGGTCTGCAACAGGCTTTTGGAAATATTCTTTGTGACCCGCCCGCCAAGTTTCTGATCCGTATAGAAGAGCTGACTGACTTGACGCTGTTTGTATTGAAAATCCGACCGAATTTTGTTGTTGATGCTGAGTTGAGTGACGAAGATTTCCAGATTGTTGTAATACCTCTAGAATTATTTGGTTTACTATAATTACGTCAAACTTTACAGAGTTAGGTTGTTCAAGCAATCTGCGAATCAGAATGGTGAATATACTCTATCTTGATAACAATCATAAATACAGGCGTATTAACGCATTCACACTAAATAAGCATACATGAATTAATTGTATAAAAGTTGATTCTGAATTTTCCGTTGATTGAGTGAACTGAAGTAATCAGACACTGTTGATATTTCCCAGTACGGACGATTCGATGATGTTTGAGGAGTAATTACTTGAAGGAATTACTTATTATTACTTCACTTCTTTAAGTTCCGACTAAGATATAGGGTTTCAAGCTTCAGCTATGAAATTTTTCTAGGTGGGGTTGTTCACCTCTTTAATACCGGCTTAGAGAGGTTTAGGAGTAAGTCAGTGGGGGGGGGGGCTGAACCTCAGATCACGTTCATGGTTGTGGAGCGTTCTACCACTGAATCAACGATGTTGACTGGTAACATAATCCAGGCTGTCCACTTTGCCCTATTTGCAGCACATCAACTGGACGTACCTGGATTCGCAGCGAATAATGTCGTTCCTAGTGATAGTAGAACCCTCTACTTCTCATCTTAAATGCCAAAGCATTATTCACTAGACCACTTGAGCTGTATGAGGCACTTCTTGTGCAACCAGTAAATTTTTATTTTCCCCGTCAACTAACTATATCTGAAATGATCAACGAAATGCATATCCTGGATTCCAGTGCTAGTCACCATCTATCAGATTACTTCAAGCACAAATGTGAAACATTTTAAGCGCCAAGTAATCCAAAACGGGAAACTTACGGAAGCCTTCGAAGTGAGGACGGGAGTAAGGTAAGGCTGTCTACTATCGCCAATGATTTTCCTGATTACAGTGGATTGGATAATGCGACCGACAGCGAGTCGGGCAATGAGGAAACAGGCATAAAATGGACTAACACAAAAAAATTGGAGGACCTGGACTTCGCCGATGATATACATATGCCTCATTTGCCACAAATTGGAAGGTATGCAAGTGAAAAGCAACAAGTTGGCGATGTAAGAAGAAGCATCGAAGATAAGACCTCACTTCAGCTGAACATAAAGAAAACAGAGGTGATGAAGATTCCTGGCCAACACCAACAGCAAAATCAACAGACAACAATCAGAATAAATGGGAGAAATCTGAAAGAAACAACCTCTTTCACCTACGTATCTGGGAAGCATACCTTCAACTACAGGTGGACAAAACTAATGAGAATATGAAAATGAGGATCGGGAAAGCAAGACAAGCTTTCACTACTCTCAAGTCCATGTGGCCGTCAACAGCACTGACTCAGCATTAAACATAAGATCCGGATTTTCAACTCCAATGTGAAGTCAGTGCTACTTACCATACGGGTCAGAGACTTGCACTGCGCGTCGTAAAGAGCATCTCAAACAAACTAAAGACCTTCACTAACAGCTGTCTTCGCTCAATACTACTCAAGATCAGATGGCCGGCCAGAAGAGATCAGCACCAGGGAGGTATCTCTGGCGATGAGCGAACCAACCCATCACGATCCAATTGTGTCACAAATATGCAGGAAGAAATGGAGGTGGATTGGCCATACTATGAGGAAACAAACCATCAAGTGACATCCCTAAACAAGCCATTGGTCGAGTGGACGCTGAAAGGGAAGCTACGAGTTGGTCGTCGGTGCAAGGGTGAGGTGACTTGGAGGAGGTGATGTGAAGAGGAGATGAAAGCATGTGGGCAGAGTTGGAGCCAGGTGAAAACACTGGTGGAGAACAGAACGCAATGGAGTCGCTCGGCTGAAGCCCTCTAGGAATTAAAGAAAATAACAATAATAAAATAATAATTTTGAGTACCAATGCCTATCATATCATCCTCCCTTTGAAGAGTATCTGCATTAACTCAGCCTTTATAAAGCAGAGCTATTTAAAGGCTTGTTTATTCACAATTATTATTATTATTGTAAATAACTGTTAGGATAGGCGGATACAACTAATTACAATCGTCTTTTCTATAGAAATGTCAGGATTATCATTTCACAGTATAAGTCAGTGTCAATTTTTTTTATTACTCACTATTAATTTGTAAAACAAAAAAACTTTCTTTATCCCTTAAAGAAAATCACACACACACACAAACATACGGAGATACACACGCGAAAGCATACAGACATGTATAAAAGCGAAAAACACGCATCATTTATTACGGTTGATGGATAGCTATCATTATTATTATTATTACTACTACTATGATTAATATTACTATTATTATCTTTTAACTGTCTCTTGAAATTTCCCTATAAATCTTAGGATATGCTTATGCTTTATTCTTCTTTTGCCTGTATATGTGTTCGTATGCCAAATTAAAGGGAAACAGGGGAAGATAGATACAGACTCACTTCACCTGACTTTATTTCTTCTCTTCCAATGATAGCTGGTTTAACCCAATTTCGTTGCTACAAAAATAAAAACGTGTACTAGATACTTTTACATGCCGAACAGAGATGAACAAGCGTGTAGCCAGAGTGTTAAGCTTTCATAAATTGCGATAAATTTTGAAGTAAAACGAAAAGAAAGAGAAATGAAAAGAAAAAGCAATAAAAACTTTACAATTATTGTAGAAAAAAAAAGAAAAGAAACAACAAAATAGCAATTATAGCAGCAGCAAAAGAATAAGAAAATGTGATATAGAGGAAGTAAAACTTGATTGGTAGGAGAGGATAGAACACGAGTAGATTAATAAAAAGGGGATGGAGTTTTATGAAGAAACCCCCTCCTCCTCCCCCCCCCCACCACCAAAACAGAAAACAGGAAAAAAGGAGTAAAGTTTGGGATTGATGTGTTCAGCAAAGAAGTAATTGGGAAAAAAATTGAATTCTTTGACTGCCTTTCAATTTCAGTCTATCTATCTTGTTCTAAATGCAATTCGCATATTATTGACGTTTATTGCTCATTTCGATGTTTGTGATTTATGCTCTGAACACATGTATTTACGCTAGGTGTCAGTATAGAACTTTCTTAACAAGAATATGGACAGAAATTATTTTCTAATAATATGAATGCGTGACGGAATATACACAGTTATTATTACTTCAGTTTATTTATAATCCTCATAAAATGCAACTTCAAATATAATTCATATTCAAGGGTTGGTTTGCTAGGATTCGGCTGATTGATTTCTGGATTTCATCATGAACTGACATCGGTTGGAGGATCATTGGACAGCTAATTCGTCATCCCTGTCTGAGACTCTTCAGCAGTACTCACCCACCAACACGGATCGAACCCAGGACTTTCCAGTTACAAGACCAGCTTGCAGAACAGTAACCCTTTGGAACCCGATCCAATAGTCCATGAATTCCAACCTCTGCCTCTATCCAATGTCAGTTCATCATGAAATCCTGAGACTTATCAAATCCCTGGAAAACAACACTTGAATATCAGTGAGATACTCATTAACGACTGACCCTATTCAGGTACGTAGTTACCTGGGTTCCAGTGG